TTACTTTAAGATAAAATAATGTTCTTTGCCGCTGATGGTGATATTGCTATCATTGTTTCTGTCTGGGGGTGCTGCACATTGGGGGGTATATTGTCATGGCAGGATGGCTCGTGACATAGGATATTAGTGAGTCATGGTTCCTGGGATTTAATGGAGAGGCTGGGGAGATGGTATGATGCACTACAAGCCCACAGGGAATGAGTAGGGGGAGGTGGGGGAGGTTAAGGAAGGAGAGGTGGGGGCTGGAGGAGAGAAAGACACAGAATAATCTTACTGATCAGCTGAGCTAGAATCACTCACTGCAGAGATATTAACACTGTGTGTGTGTGCAATGCATGTATTAACAGTGTGTGTGTGTGTACTAATCTTGTGTGTGTGTGTGTGTGCAATGTGTGTACTAACACTGTGTGTGTGTGTGTGTGCAATGTGTGTACTAACTGTGTGTGTGTGTGTGCGCACAATGTGTGTACTAACACTGTGTGTGTTTGTGCAATGTGTGTACTAACACTGTGTGTGCGCAAAATATGTACTAACACTGTGTGTGTGCAATGTGTACTAACACTGTGTGTGCGCAAAATATGTACTAACACTGTGTGTGTGCAGTGTGTGTACTATCACTGTGTGTGTGTGTGCAATGTGTGTACTAACACAGTGTGTGTACTATCACTGTGTGTGTATGTGTGCAGTGTGTGTGTGTGTTACATGCACCGCTCCTGCATGCAGTAAATGCAGCTAATGTTTTGCTGGACAGCAGAAATGGACTGAAAGACATGCCCCCAGAGGGTACACAGCAACAGTATCCTCAGACACTCTCACACTGAGCTAAACTAAACCGGTGTCAGTATGCACTTGCTCTGTGTGTGGGCAGCGTTGGGGAGGAGCTGGCCTGACTGGCAGGGCTGATGGTGATCCTGCTGGCGCGCGCACGGGCACTTCACTGACAATTTGGGGTGATCATAAACAACACGTAATGATGGGAAGTATGTGAATGCACTCCCCAACCGGCTTCATAAACCAAATCCTCCTCAATATACCAGAATCATTACTCCAAGAGAACCAAGCATTGATCGTTTCTCCTCCATCCCGAGTCAGACACGCTCCTTTATCACTCTGCTTGTTCTATAACCGTGGAGAAAGCAGCATCATACATCTATGATAGGCGCTCACAAAGTCATCCTCGGCACATGGAATGTGCCCGCCACCAGCGTTTTCCTCAGAGGGGCAGAAGTGGGGGAAATCTCAAATCACATCAGACTTCCTGTCCAAAGATTAATGTAACATTCCTACAGTTTTACCCACTACAATTCCGGGAAAACTCATTTTTTTATTTTTTTATTGTTCACATCCGCGCCCTCTCTCACAACCCGGACCCCCTCTTCAATAACTCTAATGCACCACGATCCATCACAACGCCCTCTAACCTGTAACAAAACTAAATGAATGACAAGACAAAAATTCATGTCACGCTTCACTCCCACGCGTTTCACTCCTCACTCAAAAGGACATTTCTGCATCTCTTGTCCAACCACGGCTCGTATGTTTATCTCCACACATCTTACTGCCGGGGTTATTTCCTAAATTGAAAATTGTCAGCAACTTTAAAGCGAATTTCAAATTTAAGCCGAATAAAGCCAAACTTCTGCTATTATGACCTTAAATTTGTTTATCTCGTCCATACTCTCTTATTCCCACCGTTACACGTTTTTTCAATCTGCCGGTGTGTCTTCCATCCTTCCTTCTAACACGCTTTGATCACCTTGTCCCCCTCCAGATCCATCTTCTATATCGATAGCCCTATTTACTCTTCCCGAGGTTTCAACGTTTCTGCTTCCAGACTCGCCCCCTGCTATCTGTTAGCTGCTGTCAGCCCCTGAGTGTAGCCAAAAATCACTAACCATCCAGCTACCGCAAAAGCCAAAGGTCGCTACTCTCTGCTAATTCTTCTTGACCCTTTAGCTACTGTATACAATGTGGGCCACCCACCTCTTCTACAAGTCCTTCATGTAACCTCGCTTTCTGTTCGTGGTTTTATGGGTTCTCGTTTTACATCTCCAACCAGTTTCCCTAGGTCAGACAGTCTGACACCTCTTTCTCCCGGCTACCTCTTTCAGCCGAGGCACCCCAACTTTCTGCCTTGTTCTGCTGGGCTTGGCAGATCAACCTCTCCCTCTTTGATCTCACTCCTGCATCATTAATCGTCTGATTTTATTATATATTTCAGGCCGGAGTAGCCAAATTCACTGAGTGGATGTTCCCAGTTGGGCTATTTTGACATTAAATGTAAAATTCACTCTGAATTCTCGCTTTAGTAGAATTCAGCACGGTAGCACATGTGGTTGCTATACAAATAATGATAAAGGTGAAGTGTGTATCAGTCAGGTACCACAGAAAGAAAAGTATTGCAGTATTAAGGGACTACAGGTAATCTGTTTCCCTTCAACGGGTTAAAAATAAATGCGTCAAAACTCCAGGACAGGGTTTGTTGGTATCAGCATGTGCACGCTTTCCTCTCCCTGTGTTGCATGATGCATTATTAACCCATTGGGGGCATGCACATAGCGATTATAAATTCTATTCTATACAGGTTAGTTTGTAACTAACTAGATAGTGCTTTACAAAACATGAAAAACATTAAAACTGAAATAATAATTAAAAAAAGATACTGTTAAAGTTTGTACAGCGCCTGTACTTAACGAGAAAGCAGCCTTGTACCAAACCGGCCATTACACTGGGTTCTGCTCAACGTGTCCCTTTAATTGCTATATTTTGCGTTTCTCTGCAGTTTATGTTAACTCACTGATCTGACAGGTTCATTACTCCAGGTCTATTCAATGGGATTTCAATGTATTTCTAAACATCCACTCAAAGCACTCTGATTTCCAATGCTCTTAGCTGGTGATTTGTTAAAATCCATTGCCCCTGCCCGTACAAGTACTTGTATGGAGTGTGCACGTCCATTTCAAGTCAGAGATATCAAGTCAGTAAATAAAGGAACAAGCTACATGTCGGGGGATACAGGGAACCAAATTACCATACAGCCCCCTCCTCAACAAAGCTGAAATGGTGCTGAGTGCTTAGGTAAGGCAGGCAGTAATGTAGCGCCCCCTGTCGGTTAAACACTATTTGTATTTCAAAATGAAAGCGCCCATTTTAAAAAGCCCTTATTAACTACTTGTGAGGAATAGGAGCCGGTAACTCCATTAATAATCTATGTCCAGCCAGTTACTGGCCTTTTAGGGCTTAACGAGATTAATACATAACAGGGAGAAGAGAAGGGTGAATTACATGGATTAGCGGAGGGGCACAATCTGTCCTCTGACCCCGCGGGGCCCCCCAGCTCTCTGCTTTTAGCAGTGGAGTGTGTCTGAATGTTCCAAGCCAATCCCAGTCCTCTCGTTATTTTCTGTGGGTGTTTTTTGTATAACGGTGGTAGCCATTTTCTCGTTACATCACTAGCAGAAAGCATACGGTGATGGAAGTCAGTATAAACACCAGTGTTAATTGTGAGAGTTTCTGTGGTATTTATTTAACCAGCCCAACTTATAAATTCAAACTACCTGCAGATCACCACAAAATCTCTCATCCCCTTACACAGATTTGTCATTTTTTTGTAAAATATAGTTTTACAAGTAACACTGATCTGAAGAGTTGTTTTTGCGGGTAGCGTTCTTTGTGAATGATTACAAAACATGTTTTTGATATTTATTTATTTCAGAGTGTGTTTTATAAATTCCACTATTAATATCATGCCCCTCATTAACAGCGGAACTGAAAATTATTTGGGGTTTAAAATATAAAAGTGTTGGCACTTATCTACAGGATCCTACAGCAGATTAGTCATGTAAAGGCAGTTTTATAGAAGTCATTACACCAGATTGTTATCACTTATTGTAAGATAGTTGACATTTTATATATTAAAAAATACATTTTAATCCAAGATTGAACCTGCTCTACTTATTTTAAATGAACATTTTAATGGAGATTCTGAGATTGTAAGCTTATGGGACAAGCTCCCAAACACTACTGTTATTGCCTCAAACATGGCAAGTTACAGGTTAGAGTAATCCCGAGACAAAGTCACACTTTTGCCATCATATTCGTCGGCAGACAAACAATGGAGGAAGAAGTGACTGAGGTCCTGTGTGGAGATCACATTGCCGCCACGTCCTTCCGCGGTCACTGTATAATCACCGGTGAATGGCTTGTCCTCTGCACAGAAAAGGAAAAAAAATAAAAATGAATGTGTAAATTTTGCTGTGGTTACATCAGGACTACATATTCCACCTCCTGTGGAGCAGCTCAGGTTACATAACTCTGTTAAAACCTTTACGAACAATATATCGTTAATCTGTCCGTCACCTCAAACCAAGACAGATTGAATCTGGTGTCCTGCATGGGACCACCAATATGTATCTACACACCGTAAGTGGACCTGGGCCACCACTCACTTGCAATGTGCGGAGGGAGAACAGCTACGAAGTCCAGGCCTGAGTCCTTCAAAACCTGATGCATTCGGATGTGGTCCTCTGTGACCGGCAGCAGACGAGGAGGGATTTTGGCGATGTCCCACAGAAGGAAAGCTGGAACAGGAGAAAATGGCAACATTACCAGTGATAGAACAATATTCAGAGGACATGGTCGCCGAATGACCACGGCCAACGTGAGGCCATCTCTGCATCCTACCAATGGCCACCAACCGGATAAAACTCACCAACCCACGGCCACCTACTGGATAATACTCACCAACCACGGCCACCTACCGGATAAATCTCACCAACCCACGGCCACCTACCGGATAAAGCTCACACAATCTAATTCAACGTCTAGTCATCGGGCCCACACAGCTTTAAACAGAGCTTTCTGCTCCAAATGTCATAAACAGCAACTGGACTACAAACATCGACTGTGAGTCACATGATTTGTGGTAAACACACGAAAACTGTACATCACATGACTGAGGTCTAACACAGAGCTTACGCCAAACTTCCTTCTTCTCCCAGTAACGCTAGGAATTGAATACCCCAATACACAATGATTAACATCAGAGAAAGGAAAGAACACAACTCCACCAAAAATACCGGAGTTCTACTTTCACTTAAAAGGGGGTAAAAAAATACCAGAGATTCCTTCTCAGTACCAAGATATCAGTGTGATTAGATTTACCGACTATTAAAACTAATACACAGGGTACCAGATTACTCTTTGTACAGTCACTACCCCACGTGAGAGAGCAATATTCAGAGAGGGACATTGTTGGCGACCTTATCTCAAGCAAACTAGCCAGCGTCCAGGGGGAGATATTCTTCTCTTGGACTTTTACATTTTCTATAGAACTTTATTATTTAACACATCAGTCAGTTTGCAGGTTTTATTTAATGAATTGATTAAAGTGCAGATCTGGGACTGTTTTCCCCTATACGATCCCCCAATAGTAAGCAGACACTCACATGACATGCACCCCACAACTTTGCGAATCTTGTTCTCCTTCATCGCCTCCACAATGTTCCTGGTTCCTTCTGACATCATAGTCGTGGGACCTTCAAAAAATAAATGCCTAAATGAAAGCTTTGTTTTAGCACTCTATAATTAGTGTTCCATCTGAGCTAACTACTGCAACAATCAACGTTCCCCCTCAGCAGAATGTACTCCTGAAATAAATGTTACCCCTGATCAGTGGATACGGTAACAATCTGTGTTTCTTTTTATACTCAGTATAGGAGAGTACCGGATCCTTTATTCCCCCAGTATAGGAGAGTACCGGATCCTTTATTCCCCCAGTATAGGAGAGTACCGGAATCTTGATTCCCCAAGATTAGGAGAGTACCGGAACCTTTATTCCCCCAGTGTAGGACAGTACTGGAACCTTTATTCCCCCAGTGTAGGACAGTACTGGAACCTTTATTCCCCCAGTATAGGAGAGTACCGGAAGCTTTATTCCCCCAGTATAGGAGAGTACCGGAAGCTTTATTCCCCCAGTATAGGAGAGTACCGGAACCTTTATTCCCCCAGTATAGGAGAGTACACGAACCTTTATTCCCCCAGTATAGGAGAGTACCGGAAGCTTTATTCGCCCAGTATAGGAGAGTACCGGAAGCTTTATTCCCCCAGTATAGGAGAGTACCGGAATTTATTCCCCCAGTATAGGAGAGTACCGGAATCTTGATTCCCCCAGTATAGGAGAGTACCGGAATCTTGATTCCCCCAGTATAGGAGAGTACCGAAACCTTTATTGCCCCCAGTATAGGAGAGTACTGAAACCTTTATTCCCCCAGTATAGGACAGTACTGGAACCTTTATTCCCCCAGTATAGGAGAGTACCGGAACCTTTATTCCCCCAGTATAGGAGAGTACCGGAACCTTGATTCCCCCCGTATAGGAGAGTACCGGAACCTTTATTCCCCCAGTATAGGAGATTCCCGGAACCTTTATTCCCCCAGTATAGGAGATTCCCGGAACCTTTATTCCCCCAGTATAGGAGAGTACAGTAACCTTTATTCCCCCAGTATAGGAGAGTACCGGAACCTTGATTCCCCCAGTATGGGAGAGTACCGGAACCTTTATTCCCCCAGTATAGGAGAGTACTGGAACCTTTATTCCCCCAGTATAGGAGAGTACCGGAACCTTGATTCCCCCAGTATAGGAGAGTACCGGATCCTTTATTCCCCCAGTATAGGAGAATACCGGATCCTTTATTCCCCCAGTATGGGAGAGTACCGGATCCTTTTTATACTCGGTATAGGAGAGTACCGGATCCCCTTTATACTCGGTATAGGAGAGTACCGGATCCTTTTTATAGTCACTATGGAGTAAGTCTGAAGGACTCATAAAGCCTAGAGTTTTTGGCCCACTAATATGACCTAATTCTTTTAACTCCGTGGATCTCTGTCGCTGTATATTAGTCGTTATTAACCCCTGGGCCAGTACTCAGAATGTACCTGTGCAGTGTCACTGGGTCTTAGATATCGGATCAGACCCCAGGTAATCACGGACTGTATCCCCCCAGCACCGAGTCTGTGAGACAGTAACACTAGGCAATAGATGTTCTGTAATTTCAAACTATGAACATGATTGAGATATGTAACGTTGTAGCCAGCCGAGTCCGGCATTAACTGCTCTAAGAGACAGCACGGTCGTTACACGTGACATCGATTGCAATGTTCCAGCATTTACTAGAACGCGAGCAAGATCCACGGCGTTCTGGCTCACTGCCCCACCTAGTGGCGACACGCGGCACTGACACCAGACAGCAAGCCAAAAACAGAGGATCTGAGACCAGGAAGTGCAACAGACACCCAAACTCTGTACAAACCACCTGTGGTCATGCAGCTATTACTAGCCCCACTGGCTCTCCTGGTAGTCACACTGTCTGACATAGGTGGCAGGGATGGGGTATGGGACAATACAGTATATCTGACTCACCAAAAATACTGCGTAATTAGCAAATTAACTTAATCTGACACCCCCAGTAATAGCGAATATATCAGGGAAAGATCAATTTTATGGGATTATTTACTAAGGAGAGGATTTTCAGGAATTCAAAGTGCATTTCACAGTGTTACTCCAAGCACCATGACCACTGTAATGATCTGAAGTGGTCATGGTGCCTTCACTCTGTATGGAGTCATACGGAATGAACCCCTCTGCTGGCGGAGGTGTAATTCCACGTTCCGCATTGTCACTAGAGTCCTGGGCTGAGCGGTCAGCTGACACTCTCAGTCAATGAACGCTACGGCTGCAGATTCTAAGGCTCTGTAACCTTTAAATAAACCGTTTAACGACTTTAAAGAATTTTTACAGTTTGATTATTTTGGCCTTAAAATTTGAAATTCATTTTGAATTCCTGACAATTTTCACGTCAACAAATAACCCAATTTATCTTTAGTAAAGAAACCTATCTTATTTGACATTTTGTACACCCATAAAGAGAAACCAAGTGAGCGCCTTACTGTACAGCTGCAATACCCATTGTTGGCGCTATAAAAATTATAATAATAATTACGGGGTGGGCTCTATGTATCCTATTAAGGAGTCTCTGCTAGAGATTTGGGATATTTCTAATAATCTAAAAATAACTGCCAAGATGCTAATAAGGCAAAGACATTTAAAGACACAGAACTATACTCCCCACGAGAGTCCTGCACCAGTTATGGCAGAAAATCAGGACAAGGCTGCCAAAACAATGCTGGGGAATTGAATAAATAGCTAATATAGTAGTGATCGATAACATGGCCTGATCCGATTCATTCTGCCCTGTTTATTACGGTAAAATTATCGCTAGTTTAAACAATACACTGTTCAAATCGCTGTGCTGAAATTTGGCAAAATGGACGACTACTGAATCGAATAGTTAGATTTCCATTTAATGGAAAACCAGAAACATTACCAAGGTCACTCCTTGTCCCCAGAACGATGATCACCGCATCCTGCCCCTCCACGGCCTTCGCCACGTCCGCTTTATTCAGCACGTCGCCCACAATGATCTTGGATGGCTTTGGGTCAGGAGGGAGCCGTGATGGGTCCCTCACCAGCACCGTCACATTGAACCCTGCAACAGAGGCACAGAGTTACAGATCTATGTGAAATAATGTAGAATTCATTATAGTCAATTAGTCAGACATCGATCAACACATTCTAAAGAGGAGCAAACGGCTGCAGCTTATCGAAGCCTTCCGTCTGTTATACAGTAGAGGCTACAAGATAACAGTGTTGGGCTGGCAAGATAAGAATTGCCAACGTAGCCAAACAGAGTTTTCGAGAAAACCAAAAAATAAAATTATTATTAAACTGACCAATAAGATGAAACAGAAATTCTTAAAATCCTCAACGTTTCAACTTTAACATATAGGTAATAAAGGTAATAAAATAGAGGTTCTTCTTTTTTTGCACAAATATTTGCACATATTTTGAAGTTATAACATTTTACAGATTCGTTTTGCAGAAATTTTCCTTTAAACAGAAAAACACTTTTGATCATTGAATCTTCATAGAATTCTTTAAAATACACTGGAAATGGCAGCTGCGATCAAGGCAGTTTGTTTGTATTCCAGTAAGGATACCGGCCTTTCTAAAGTCAGTCATTTCCTAAATAATCACAAAAAATATCCACTTTCCTCCGGCTTACACCATGACACGCAGGACGTCATTAAACACATTTCATTTATTCTGCATTAAATCTATGGTGGCATTTGCCAACGTTGCTTGTCACAGGAATGCCAACCGAAAGCAAATCTAAAACCCTCGTACATTAGATTGCAAGCTCTACAAATCAGTGACGTCTTCCACAAACGCTTGAGTTTGACACTTTGCATATAATGATGTTCTCCATTATTTGTTTGATTACATTATGCAGCACTGACACACAGACAGACAAAATCCTACCACGAGCGTTGGTTAATGGTTAACATGTTGGAGTAGGAGGGAGAGGTCCCTGCTTATCTCCTTGCTGCATTGTTTGCAGGACTTGACTCAGCAAGAATTAGGTGAAATACTTTAAAGACAAATGATCACTTGCGCAAATTCTATATTAACAGAAATCACCTAATGGTCCTTAAAGAGCAGTGGTCACTTCCAAGATTTTAGCACAACCAGAGAGCTCTATAAACGTTCGCTATTGAGTATACTAATATTTTTTTTCTTCCTAGATTTTTTTTTGGTATTTTTCTTAAAACTGACATGCTGTGCCAAGCACACCGTACAAAGCATGTAAGGTAATAAAACCTGCAGTGCTGTGCACATGGCACATGCACGCTCGATGATGGAGGAAACACAAAGCGCGCATGCACTCGTACAGAATTTATCCGTTTTCTGGTGTGAGGGAATGAGAAACTGTCGCTTTAAATGAATATTGAACACAAGTTATTTAACAGACAGACACTGCACTTATAAGCACAAACCAGCCATATGGTCAGATTTAAACCAATTAAACTGATGTTTCCGAAACATTATATTATATATATATAAAAAATAAAATTAAAAAAAAATATTCACATTTGAAGTTTCTGCATTTGCTGCTAATTGCCGTCCTTTTGCAGCTTCTGCAGTGAACTCAAATCAAAGAAGCGACTCGGAGATTTATAAATAATAACAATGTAACAAGCGGGGCAGGTAAAGGAAAAAAGGCTTGTGTGTTTTATTCCTCCTGCATTTAAGGCAAAATCATTGGAAACTGAGCAGTACGATCTATGGACACAGATTGGGAATTATTATGATAAATGGAAATATACAAGTTTTAGGCGAATACCACGGTGGAGATCAAAAATCATGGTTTCCGATTCTCCGTCACGGGGCACTGCAATGAATTGCTTTGAACATAGCCCACATTCCAATCTGAATTCTGTCTGGATACAACGGCTGATTTCTGGATACGAATAATGGAAATGCTTAACCGAACGCTAAGATTCAACAGAATTGGCCGTTACCTGCAAATTCGATTCTACCCAATGGACAGAAATTCAGCTGGACCACGTTAGCAAGCGGCGGCCAATTCTAAAACCAGCAAATCTACAGCACCATTTACTTAACATCTACTGAAAAAGCGTTAAACCCACCGAGGGAGCTTATACAATGCATATTATAGAATTATTTCTGTCTAGTTTAACCCTTTGCCGGATACTTGTGCGTCAGGTGAAGGTTTTCTGGATTTGTTTCTATGGTTGTTTTGAGTGAATCGGGTTGAAATGTATTTGTGTGATAATTATGCAAATCTAAGATTTTCTAAAGTATTTGCAGGTGAGAATCGCGGATTTTAAAGCAGACTATGAATGATGCCAGATCTGCATAAATAGGAGAATTGCAAATCTGGACGACAGTCTGAAATTACCCTGACAGGGGGGAGAAATGAATACTACATTTGTAATAAAATGGGCCAAGTAAGAGACAAGCTCAATGTTTTCCCAAATGATTTCAAGGAAATCGAGTGCAGTCATGTAAAAATGAAAGGAGTACGGTCATTTTCCAGGACATCAAATATCCGTTTACTTCTCCGCTTTATTTAACAACGATGTGTTTGTGAGGTGTATAAAAAAATAAAATGAAATATAGCAATAAACACCCCTTTATCCTGCAACTGGGCGCCTCCATCTTGGAATCTGGTCAATGAACTGGACATTGCTGACAGTAGCTCAATCTTTCATTTACATTGAAAAAAGGAGTATCACGGTTAAAAAAAGGTTGACACAAGTTTATTTTCGACGTTTTATTCAGCAATTGAGAAGAGATAATTCCTCTGTAAGATAAGAAAATATAAAGCTGAACTGAACCCCAATACTTACTGCCGCTGTGTTCCCACGTTCTGGAATACTTTGCCGTCCCACGACGTCTCCGGAGTGTTCGGGCATGCTACAGAGAATCGAAGTCCGTGTGCAGGTATGTTTGGGAATTCTGCAGGGATTAATCTAAGCAATGCAAGTAAAGTAAAAAAACAAAAACAAACTATATTATATATAAATAAACTACTTCTAGCCCAACTCATAACTAACCGTTACACACATGACGGATCCAGGTATGTGTGCGGGCCAGTTATTAAAAATAAATACTGTACACACATTTTTCAGCCTTCATTCTCGTTCATTTCCAACAACAAACGAACGGACGGGCAGTTGTGGTTATAACCTTTTAGCACAACTTCACTTTCCACAGAACAGCACTGGCACAGCATGCACATTTTTAAAATTATTTTTTTTTTACATTACTTTATGAGCAGTGAATGAGTTAACTTCAGTCTCTGATTAAGAAGCTGGTCAAACACTTCAAGAATTATTATTATTATTATTTTGCATATGTTTTTACAATGTGTGATCTGTATATTGGATTAAAAAAGAGCCAGCACCAATAGTTTTCATAGGTCCTTGAACAGATTAATAGATTGTAAGCTCCTTGCCCCAGGATCTGATGCTAGCTCCTCCTGCCATTTCCTGAGACATTGTATCAGGTAAAGTGTGTGGCCCCTGGGGGCCCATTACCTGCATCCAGAGCCCGTGCCAGGGTCACTGTGCCAGTCATGCCGGTGGCACCGAATAGGGCGATGTTTTTGGTAGTCATTGTGGCAGCTCTCTGAGTCTCTCACTCACACCATCAGATCTCATTCAGGGGACACAAACTGTGCTCCTCCCCAAACAGGGAGGGATTGGGAACCACTTAACCCCCTCACTACCTGCCCCACTAAACCTCCCAGCATCAGATACATAGTAATAATAATAATAGTAATAATAATAATAGTAATAATAATAATAATAATAATAATAATAATAAGCATTGCTAACCCTACTTTTGATGTCTTTCTCTTTAAACCCTGGCTTAGAGAAAGTGAAAGTAGGAATTGTGAAATAAACTTCCTTGTTCCCACTCCCCTGAGCTGTGAATATAGAAACATTTTGGGTAGAGTTCTAACACTGGATACAAATGGCAAGCTATAGCTTCTGCTATGTGAGCAGTCACAGAGCTCCACAGCCATAACACTCCCAGTAATGTGCAGTGTGTGTATCACAGAGCTCCACATCAATAAAACTCACAGCAATGTGCAGTGTGTGTATCACAGAGCTCCACAGCAAGAAACTCACAGTAATGTGCAGTGTGTGTATCACAGAGCTCCACAGCAATAAAACTCACAGTAATGTGCAGTGTGTGTATCACAGAGCTCCACTGCCATAACACTCTCAGTAATGTGCAGTGTGTGTATCACAGAGCTCCACAGCAATAAAACTCACAGTGATGTGCAGTGTGTGTATCACAGAGCTCCACAGCCATAACACTCACAGTAATGTGCAGTGTGTGTATCACAGAGCTCCACTGCCATAACACACAATAATGTGCAGTGTGTGTATCACAGAGCTCCACAGCCATAATACTCACACTAATGTGCAGTGTGTGTATCACAGAGCTCCACTGCCATAACACTCACACTAATGTGCAGTGTGTGTATCACAGAGCTCCACTGCCATAACACTCACACTAATGACCAGTGTGTGTATCACAGAGCTCCACAGCCATAACACTCACACTAATGTACAGTGTGTGTATCACAGAGCTCCACTGCCATAACACTCACAATAATATGCAGTGTGTGTATCACAGAGCTCCACTGCCATAACACTCACACTAATGTGCAGTGTGTGTATCACAGAGCTCCACTGCCATAACACTCACAATAATGTGCAGTATGTGTATCACAGAGCTCCACTGCCATAACACTCACACTAATGACCAGTGTGTGTATCACAGAGCTCCACAGTCATAAAACTCCCAGCAATGTACAGTGTGTGTATCACAGAGCTCCACAGCCATAACACTCACAATAATGTGCAGTGTGTGTATCACAGAGCTCCACAGCCATAACACTCACACCAATAAAACTCACAGTAATGTGCAGTGTATGAGTGTATCACAGAGCTCCACAGCAATAAACTCACAGTAATGTGCAGTGTGTATGAATGTATCACAGAGCTCCATAACAATAAAATTCACAGTAATGTACAGTGTGTATGAATGTATCACAGAGCTCCACAACAATAAAACTCACAGTAATGTACAGTGTGTATGAGTGTATCACAGAGCTCCACAGCAATAAACTCACAGTAATGTGCAGTGTGTATGAGTGTATCACAGAGCTCCACAACAATAATACTCTGTGTTTAGGACCAAACTTCTGGAATAAAAGGGAATCATGACATGTCACACGTCATGTGTCCTTAAAGGGTTAACATATAGTATATGTAATTATAAATCAGTGTAAATGTAATATTGTTTAAAAAATTTTTGTTAACTATATAAATATCAATAAATAAAAAAAATATCTGTAAATTAACTTTAAACCGCTAAACTAGGGTTGCCACCTTTCTTAGGGAAAGACACCGGCCATGCTAGTTTGTAAAATGAATTATAAATGCGTGACATCAGAGGATATTTTGAAAACCACAAGCTGTGACATAACAAAAAAACTACTCACAATATGTTTATGACAGTGCATGTAGCGCTGTGTATGTGTAGCAGTGTGTCAGTGTGTTTGTGTCAGTACATGTATACACTGTGTCTGAGTGTGTGTAGTATGAATCATGTGTGTATAATATCTGAATGAGCGTGTTTAAACAGTGTGTGCTTACTGTGTCTAAGAGTGTGATAGTGAGTGTATGTTGTGTGTTTGTTAGTGTGTGTATGTTAGCGTGTGTATGCTGTGAGTGTGTGTGTTAGTGTGTGTATGCTGTGTGTGTGTTAGGGTGTGAATGCTGTGTGTGTGTTAGGGTGTGAATGCTGTGTGTGTTAGGGTGTTATGCCGTGTGTGTGTGTTAGGGTGTGAATGCTGTGTGTATGTGTGTTAGGGTGTGTATGCTGTGTGTGTGTTAGTGTGTGTATATGTGTTAGGGTGTGTATGCTGTATGCGTTAGTGTGTGTTAGGGTGTGTATATGCTGTGTGTGTGCTAGGGTGTGTATGCTGTGTGTGTGTTGGTGTGTGTATGTGTGTTAGGGTGTGTATGCTGTGTGTATGTGTTAGTGTGTGTATGCTGTGTGTGTGTTAGTGTGTGTTAGGTTGTGTATGCTGTGTGTGTGTTAGGGTGTGTGTGATAGTGTGTGTGTTAGTGTGTGTATGCTGTGTGTATGCTGTGTGTGTGTTAGGGTGTGTGTTAGTGTGTGTATGCTGTGTGTATGTGTGTATGTGTGTTAGGGTGTGTATGCTGTGTGTGTGTGTTAGTGTGTGTATGCTGTGTGTGCGTTAGTGTGTGTTAGGGTGTGTATGCTGTGTGTGTGTTAGGGTATGTATGCTGTGTATGCTGTGTGTGTGTGTTAGGGTGTGTGTGATAGTGTGTGTATGCTGTGAAAGTGGGGACTGTTCCTAACCATCACAGCACGACTGCATCAATAGACTATTAGGACACTAGGACCCTGCAGGGAGCACTGAAACTCTGCCCATTGCAGGGTCTGCACTCAGTGGAGCCTGCATGATGGAATCTCAGTGCATTCACGCCAGTCTGACCTGCCATTAACCCGTGTGGACCCGCTCCCTTTCTGGGCTTTTTGGGGTGTATCTATTGACATTATTGCATCATTATCCCGCCGCCTTTCCCCCCCTCCCACCGGCGTTCCGATTCTCAGGACAGAGAGTTGGGCTGTAAATACCGGCACTGGCCAAACAGCATCAAATACCGGCTGTGCCGATAAAATACCGTCCACTAGGCAACCCCACCCTAAACTATGCCTACTAGCGCAGCATAAGTTGAATGGACACCCCCACCATTAAAGTATTTCAGTTTGCTGGAGTGCTTTAGGGGTTAACAGCATACATTTCATTGTCACATTTCATAAAAGTGCTTATTTCAAGAGAAATTGATATTATGAATCAATTAGGGACAATTAAGGAACAACCCCCTGGCGGTCAAGCGAACAGCCACGAGGGCTTCCTGGTTCGCTCTGTTTGAACAATCGCTCAAATCAAGAGAAGGACGTCTATAGGCAGGCATTGGTCACTGTTTCCCTATGAGAGGCAATGCGATTGCAGGGATCGCTCAATGTCACTTTCAGCTGTACAGGAAGTGGAGGCAGCCATCACTAGCAGTCTCCTCTGGGCAGAGCGGGCAGCAGCAAGAGGGGAATCATTCCTTAATGAAAAACTAAATAACGTTTATTTTTTAAATTTCATGGGCAAGGGCACCTGACATTGTTCATATACCCCCCAATATCATCTGGTGGTTGGGGTGAAATATCATCCGGTGGTTGGGGTGAGAGGGGACGGATAATAAAACGAAAGGGGAAGATCTGCCAAAGAATTGGCAAGTCACCCCAGTCAGCCAGCCTAAATCAGGACAGACAGGAGGCCTGTGGACAGTGCAAATAAATCAAAATATCGGTCCAATTAATGTCGCTGTGCTCCTTTAATTCCCTGTACCACAGATTGTAAGGAAGTGACATGGACATCTGACACCGAAACTCATACTGGGATTTAGTGAGCTGTAAAACCGCTGACATGGGGATTTTTCAGTTCTCTAATTTAGGGTTAAACTGTGCGTTCCCATGTCTGTTCCCCCAATCCTTGTTTTAGTAACTCTGCAGAGGTCCTGGTAAAATGATTATGTGAATAACACAGGAGAGGCCTATGGTTATAGGCAATACATAGTACAGGGCAGCATTACTGCATTATTAATAATTATTATTATATTACTGCATTATTATTATATTACTGCGTTATTATTAATTATTATATCACTGCATTATTAATTATTATTATTATTTATTATATTTTTGCATCATTATTTTTTGTTATATTACTGCATTATTAATTATTATTGTTGCATTTATTATTATATTATTATATTACTGCATTATTAATTATTATTGTTGCATTATTTATTATTATATTAATAATAATAAATAATGCATTAATTTTCTGCATTAATTATTATTTTTACATTATTTATTATTATTGCCTTATTGATTATTATTATTATTATATTACTGCATTATTAATTATTATTATAATTATTAGTATTTTTACATTATTTATTATTATTGCCTTATTAATTATTATTATTATTATATCACTGCATTATTAATTATTGTTGCATTATTTATTATTATATTATTATATTTCTGCATTAATTATTATTTGTACATTATTTATTATTATTGCCTTATTATTATTATTATTATATTACTGCATTATTAATTATTATTATTATTATTATTATTAATTATTATTATTATTATTATTATTAATTATTATTATTTGTACATTATTTATTATTATTGCCTTATTATTATTATTATTATATTACTGCATTATTAATTATTATTATTATTATTATTATTATTATTATTAATTATTATTATTTATAGAGGGCAAGCCCACAGCTGGTCACAGGATCCAGGGGTTGATTCCATACACTCAGCGCCCCCTGCTGGCACACAGTGTGAATTGCAGGCTATGGAGTTCGAGCACCCGAGACATAGCACAGCCAGCACTACATGTCTGTATTATGACCCGCTGGGGTTTCCGGACTCCGTATTCTCCATTCCTTCTCCAGGCTCCCGGCGCTCGGTGCTGTGTAACACATAGACTCTGTACAGCGGGCATGCTATAAAGGAAATACTCCGGTCAGGTAGTGTTTGTGTCTCTAGTGTGTTGAACTCTGCGGCTGTGCCTTTGGACCGTTTCCAGGTGAGCCCGACGCGGTCTCCCTCTTACTGCGCATGCGTATCTCTGCGCACAGGCGCCCTCTACAGGTGAGCGCCGGGGTTTTCTCCTTGAGCCCTCGGGAGCCCCCTAGCGGTGAGCGCGGAGTGCGCATGCGCGGCTCTCTGGATGGCTGGCTGGTCCATGGATGCTGGAGATGGGGGTTTGCAGCATTGTCCTCTCCTGCAACAATAATAACAATATTAACAATAACAATAATAACATTATTATTATTACTCTGTATTGTTATTATTACTGTCAGCAGCAGTGCGGGGCAGAGCCTGGTAAGGGGGTCACTGAGCTCTCTGTATAATGGGAGCAGGATGGGGGGAGAGGGTGTGGGAGGCTGACATTGGGGGGGATACTGCAATATAATAATAATAATAATAATAATAATATTATATACTACTACTGGCCTTCCTACCATGGGGGGATACTGCAATATATTATATTAATAATAATAATAATAATAATATTATATACTACTACTGGCCTTCCTACCATGGGGGGGGATACTGCAATATATTATATTAATAATAATAATATTATATACTACTACTGGCCTTCCTACCATGGGGGGGATACTGCAATATATTATATTAATAATAATAATAATAATATTATTATATACTACTACTGGCCTTCCTACCATGGGGGGATACTGCAATATATTATATTAATAATAATATTATATACTACTACTGGCCTTCCTTCCATGGGGGGGGGATACTGCAATATATTATATTAATAATAATAATATTATATACTACTACTGGCCTTCCTACCATGGGGGGATGCTGCAATATATTATATTAATAATAATAATATTATATACTACTACTGGCCTTCCTACCATGGGGAGGGATACTGCAATATATTATATTAATAATAATATTATATACTACTACTGGCCTTCCTACCATGGGGAGGGATACTGCAATATATTATATTAATAATAATATTATATACTACTACTGGCCTTCCTACCATGGGGAGGGATACTGCAATATATTATATTAATAATAATAATAATAATATTATATACTACTACTGGCCTTCCTACCATGGGGAGGGATACTGCAATATATTATATTAATAATAATAATAATAATAATAATAATATATACTACTGGCCTTCCTACCATTGGGGGGGGAGGGGAGATACTGCAATATAATAATAATAATATTATATACTACTACTGGCCTTCCTTCCATGGGGACATACTGCAATATATTATATTAATAATAATA